AGGAAGCCTGCTTCTCCCTCTCCCACTCCCTCTGCTTGTGTTCCCTCTCTCGCTGTGTCTCTCTCTGTCAAATAAATAAAATCTTTAAAAAAAAAAGAAAGAAAATTGAAAATATATGTCTACACAAAACATGTTTATGAATGTTTACAGCAGAATTATTCGTAGTAGGCAAAATATTTGGATGTATGGATATAGTGGTATATCTATGCAATGGAATGTTATATGTCAATAAAAAAGAGAATATTGGTACATGCTACATGGATGAACTTTGAAAACACTGTGACAAGTGAAAGAAGCCATTCACAAAAGCCCATACTGTATGATTTCATTTATATACAATGTCCAGAGTAGGCAAATGCAGAGAGGCAGGATGTAGGTAGTGGTTGCCTGGGGCTAGTGGGGAAGAGGAAATGGACAGAGGGTTTACATTTGGAGTCATGAAATGTTCTGGAATTAGAAAGTAATGATGACTGCACAATTTACAGCTGTATTAAACCACGAATTGTACATTTTAAAAGGGTAAACTTTATGTTATATGAATTACGTCTCGATAATTTTAAAAAATATATAGATGTTGTCCATATAACTGTAAAAATCTTCATTTGAGCTCAACAAAAGTACTTCACCTCTCAGAGGTTATGTAAAGCAAGGATTATGATGTCCTGTCAGGGTTCAGAGGTCTATTTATTTGAAATACAGGTTTTGTTATTCAGGTGTGGTGAGGCCACCAGATCAGGAGACAGTTGCCATGAGAAACATCGTTATACTCACAGATTCCCAAAAGGAGAGACATGCCATACCATGGGGGTTACCTGAGAAAGCAGCAGGGTCCTTAAGGGGCAGAGGGAGCAAGCAGAAAATGTGAGCAAGAGCCTTTATTGTGGGTTCAGTGAGAAGGAATGGGCAAAGCAGCATAAACAGGCTTAGGATTTGCTAGTTTAAATAATTCCATCAGGCTCTGGGGTACTGGGGCTGTTGTCTGGTACCTGGCCCTGAGGGGTAGGGCAGGGGAATACTGGCCCAGGAAGAGCTCAAGAAAGGAGGCAGTGGGGGTTGGGCTCTGGATGGGTTGCTTTCCATATGAAAGGCATGCTTGCAGGTGAGTCATTTACTACTTATAGGAAGTGGGTAACCCTAAGAGGGACAAGTCCCTCCATTGTCAGCAAAGCCCCAAGATGTCAAAGCATCAAAAATACAGATTAAAAAGACATACTTAATATACTATTTGGGGCAAAATGCATAGGAGTTAATGTCTTCCCTTTGCCTTTACCCTTCCTTTAGGTGCTTAGGTAGTGCTCCTTTCCCCTCTTCTGGATTATATTATAGTTTCAGTAGTTAAGCTTCTAGCTCTGTGTCTTAACCAATTGCCTGGGTTTAATTTTGACATTTGAGAATTATTCTGGAAATAGTTTAAGGTTGAACACCTTGTTGCAGAGCCAAATTAAGTAGCTATTTGGAGGACAGATGGCAAATAGCCTTGGGGGAATACAGCCATAGTGACTTTGAAGAAAGGACCCATCTTGTTCCAGTTATTATGAGCTATCAAACCTCTCTTGCCATTGCCTCCCGGGAGAACAGAGTCCTAGAGCAGCAGTTACCGGAAAGCCGCATTCGTCTTGTGAAGACCATCTTAGAAGCATTTCTGTAGGTCCATTCTAGTAATCCCTGCACGCCTCCCACCTCCACCCCCTGCACTGTCCTTGTCACACACTCTCTTCACAACACGCTTTTCTTCCGATAGAGCATCTTGGTTTTTTGTATATAGAAACTTCAGAAGTACCGTTTTTATTTTTCTCTGTCTCTAGGAACAAAATGAGGGCTAGTTTTCTGTATCCTACTCTGGCGATCTTACATTTCTCTAAAAAGCCAAATTGCATGTAGAATCTGATTTCAACCTTGAGCTGACCTTCACGTGTTTGCTCATTTGCTTGCCTCCACACCATGCTTTTTTCAATTACTGCAGGATACTCTGTTGACTAAATTAAATAACCACACCTGACATCTGAAAGTTTAAAAAAATATCCCCAAATTATCCTGTAGAATGACCCAAGAGATTTTATTCTTGGCCCTTTGTTGTTCTCGTCTTTATTTCCTTATAGCTTGACAGATTTCAGTTTTTCCCCCTTGACTCATTTAAATTTTGAATACAGAGCAGGCAGTGGAAGTTTTCTCCAACCATGTACTTTTACAAACTTTAAAAAAACTTGAATGAAATTGTCTCTGGTGAAACATGACATTGAATTGTTTCACTCAAATATTTCAAGACCCTTGAAATAAGTAATTGAGGACCACTGGAGATCAGGAAGGGGGACTCCCCCTGTGCTTTTAATAAAATCGGGGCTAGCTTCTAGCTTAGCACTTTCAGAGCTTGCTCCACCAACCAGAGATCACATGTCTGTAACTACTTCTGGCCATGGATAAAAAGCCATCTCCCGCACTGAAAGGGAAAGCCATCTACTTGGTCGTGCAGTTGTTCTGACTTCCTCTTTGAGCACCGGCAGAAACCCACACGGAAGGTGATGGTGGCTTTTACCCCAGGAGCAAGGTTCACAGAGGGAACAGAAGGCATCTACTGCTTTGTAAACAATATTTTATATCCTTGTGCTCTTACTTTGACCCCTAGGAAGAAGAAAAATGGTATTTATTGATTTGCAGTAGATTGTGATATGAATTATATAAGGTTAATAAATAGTTATTGAGTGTTTAGAGTGTAAAGTCCCACTTAGGAAGCATCTGTAATCGGGGAAGCATAATCCTGCAAGCATAAAATGGAAAGAGAAACATATCATTTATAAGATAGTCTGTCATCTTGTATGAGTGTCACCACGAAAAACAAATGCCTAGAACTTCCATATTCATGGACTATGTTTCTATAAAATAACAAGACTTTGCTGAATTTTATAAAGTGAACTTAAGTACAAGTATCAGATAACTCAGAAATTTTATGCTATAACATTACATTTGTCACTCAGTTTGCAGAAACATGAGGTGGTGGTTGCCATCTTGAAAGTTGAGCCTTGTGGCACCTGGGTGGCTCAGTTGGTTAAGTGTCCAACTCTTGATTTCAGCTCAGGTCATGATCTCAGGGTCGTGAGATTGAGCCCCACGTCAGGCTCCGTGATGGGCATGGAGCCTGTTTGGGATTCTCTCTGCCTCTGCCCCTGCTCGCACGTGCTCTCTCTCTCTCTCCCCCTGTCAAATAAATAAATCTTTAAAAAAGAAAGAAAGTTGAGCCTTATGCATGTTGGTTGCTGCTCTGCAGCACTACTCACAGCCTTGACCAAATCCCCTTCTGAGAAGGCCTTCATACAAGATAGGGAAAAAATGTTAACAGGAACAGTTAGCAGCAAGCTGTTGCCTTAAGCAAACTGGGATGGTGATGAGAGCCTTTCAGAGTGTTTTCAAATCCCTGAATCCTATGTACTCCAGTGAGGCTGGAGATTGCCACACTTAGAACGCAGTGGACAGTTGATGATAGGTCTTTAGGGTTCTCTTCTAGAAATGTAAATGTGAAATGCTAAAGTGTATTTATTACCCTTTTATTTCTACGGTATCCAGTGTGGAAATGAAATTTTAACACTGGTAACAGGAACTTGCAAAATAACGTACAAGGAACAACTGATAAGAAATTTGCTTTCAGAATGAGTACAATGGGCAGTGTCACATAAACTGGTGGAAATGTTTTAAAAGTCCATCCACATCTCTCTTCTTGATGGCTCTGTGGAGCCAAACAGAACCTGGCAGAACAGGACATTTTTCTGGATTTAATTCTCTGAATAACCAGTGACTTTTATAGATAATAATCCTGAGACATGAGAGGTTACGTAGTGCACAGAGTTTAAGTCCCCAGTTATTCTTGTCTTTGAAAAATATATGTAACTCTAGAAGCAGTGTCAGAAACAATAAATATGAAGGAGGAAGAAGATAAGTATGGACCTTCTTTAGGAATCCGCCTACAAATTAACCTAAGTATTTAGCCTTTCCTCCTCTTGTATGTTTCAATGGGTTCAAAAGTGAATTAAATGTCTTCCCAAACTTACTGTTTGGTTCTGACTAGCAGGGGTTGTTCATTGTTGGCTAGAAATGGGGCATGATACATTATTTGATTCAGTTTCAAAATAAAGTCCTTCATTTTAAAAGAAAATCTGGTAAAGAAGATCTTTAAAAACTTTTTGCTAAAATAGATGACTTTTTATTCATTTTTTTTAAAGATTTTATTTATTTGACAGAGACACATCAAGAGAGGGAACACAAGCAGGGGCAGTGGGAGAGGGAGAAGCAGGCTCCCCGCCGAGCAGGGAGTCCGATGCAGGGCTCAATCCCGGGACCCTGGGATCATGACCCGAGCCGAAGGCAGACACTTAACGACTGAGCCACCCAGGCACCCCCAATAGATGACTTTTCTATCCATACATGACAAATTCTTAAGATATAGGCCAATAAAAAACAGTAACTTAGTTTATTACATAGGGTTTAATGTGCTAACCCCACATGTTCTAAACTAATAACTTGATTTTTTTTTTTTAAACTTAATACTAAACACACTGGCAAAAATAATTGTTAAATAATACTCATTTCCTCTACTAGCTATTGAAGACTTGCTTTGTAAGACACAACAATTAGAAATTTTCTTGCCTAAGGGCTTCAGCTTATATGGTTAAGAACTTCAATTCCTGGTATATGGAAAGTCCTTAATAAATTGTTGCTGAACAATTTTAATTGAACTAATTTTCTTCATAGTACAAAATGATGATTGGTTTACTTAAGTATCAAATATTATGAACCAATAAAGGGAAATATGTTATAAGTGTTACAGTAAGGTAATTCTGATACAAGCATAAAAATCTCAATATAGTATTTAAATAATCTTGCTCACATAGGGGGTATGATATTCCCTGGGAATTCCTTGGAATTTTTGTCTAGGACTACTTGTAATACTGGTCGCTTCCTTCTTTCTTCTTTGTTTTCCTATTTACTGATGTGTGCTCTGTGTCCTTGCAGTTCAACAACATGTTGCTGTACTGTGTACCAAGATTCAGCTTGGTGGGCTCTAAATTCACAGTTCGAACCAGGGTTGGCATCGATGGAATGAAAATTGTGGAGACTCACAATGAAGAATATCCACATACTTTCCAGGTATCTGGAAAAGAGAGAACATTGGAACTGCAAGCCAGGTGAGAGAAGCCTTCCTATCACACAGCTTTACGAAAGCATCAGAATGAGTTGTAGGACAGAATAATTCTGAGGATCTTTCCCAAGTGAATACTATAGACCTCTGGGAATCTGGTTGGACATAAGAAACAGAATCTCTTAAAAGGCAGGAATTATGTTATCCTTTTTGATTCCTTCATAGTGCCTAGAGAGTAGTTTTCAGATAGTAAGAATTCAGTAGATTAAATTTACTCTTCAGATTTGCAAGGTGCTCAGAGAATGAAGTGGTTGTGTTCAAGCCAGAGTTTTGAGCCTTGTAGGAAAGGGTTCTCCCTAACCCTTCCTCCCTCCACCCTTCCTTTTGGTGCACAATGTTTATTGATGCTTTCTATCCCATGCTAAATGTTGAAGCATTAGCTGTCAGTCCTTCAGCGGCTCTGCATTCATGTGACTTATTGCCGCTTTGATGGAGAGGATTTTCAGAGGAGGCAGAGTAGAAAAGGTAATGATTCTGCCACAGTTGGAGGATACAGGAAGGCGGCCATTTGGGGTTATAGTAGCCTCTAGAAACCAGGACTTCTGGAAGGGGTGGTTCTTTATAAGCTTTGTTGAGTTGGAAAGAAGTGCTGGGGTTCTGGCATCCCTCTGCTTAACATAACAATGTTTGGAAAGAAAAAAACAGTGAGAACCACTACAGTGGCTCATAGCTACCTCTTAGATAGAGTGCTGTCAGGTTTTGAAATATCTACCTTAGAAGACTGTCCTCCATTTATCCTACAAAGGCGTATCGTGAAATATGGGAACCTTCAGAAGGTCACAGATCAGAGGGTTTAGGTACCAGTCTTGACTCTGATGGTTCTGATACCCTAGAATCTGGAGACTCAGCAGTTCTGTTCCTTTTTGTTCGCTTGCACCAATAGCATATGGTTCTGGCTGGCTCAGATGAATTCATCCTGGATATTTGTACTTAGTAACTGTATAAAAGTTTGAAGTTCAGACTTTTAAAAGAGAATAATTCATTTTAGCAGGAATCTGTGCCCAGGGAATTAGGGAATTGGTGAAATTACAGTTAAGGGAGATAGGGCTGGTACATTTTGAAGAAGTAGCCCTTTGATTTCCCACAGAAAATCTATACTGAACCTGCCATTACTTAGGGAGCTGCCAGGCGACTGCTCCTATGGATTAGAAGGTGGCATTTCAAGCATAAGTTAAAAGTGTAGAGGACTTAGCTTTGAATGGCATGGCTTTCCTACCTCATGGTGAAATTTGGCCCCAACCACCAAACTGAAGGAAGAATGTATTATGCTGTGCTCAGAGGCTCCTGACGTGAGTCCTCAGTGCTTGACTCACTGAGCGATTGGTTCTGGCAACAGGGAGGACTCATCAATAGTTCTGACCATCAGAGAAGTCTTCATGGCAGAAGAATGAAGACATTGCTACTGTGAAATCCAGCATACTTCCAAATCTGCAAACCTGAGAGAGGTGTTGAAACAGCAAAAGAGAGATTATCAAGGTTTGGGGGTTGCCAAAATGGAAACCCCAGCTGTGCATTAGCAGGTTGGCCTATTTTCTCTTCAGGATAGGGCTGATGCCTGAGGAATTTTCTTAAGTACAGGCAATAATCACTTTGTAAAGTTCCAATATGCAGGATTGGATACATTTCAATTGATACCGAAAACACAGTCATTTTTCCTTAAATGTCTTATTCCCTTAATCTCATTGCTATAGTTATACTTATGATTCTATGGTGAATTGAAGAGCTGAATTAAGTGATTACTTTTCATCTAGTCTATGATTCTTTCTAGAATAAGGACAAACATTGAAAGTCTCAGAACATCAGAGTGTTACAGGGATTACACGGAGCCCAAAGTTGGGTATATATTTGGAGATGTTTAAAGATCATTCACTTCAGAAGCCACCTGGAAAAAAAATGGGTTCTGCTTTTCTTGCTAAATGAGTCAGCCTGAAGACTGACCTCTTACACTCTGCTTCCTCTTTTGTATTTAAAAGAATATTAAGCATTCTGTCTTGTATACTTTTTATGTAATGGCTTTATATTGCTAAATGAATTAAAAAAAACCCATAGTAATAAGTAAATTAGAGGAGTAAAAATTCTGCCATGACTTGAGAAAGTAAAACAAAAAGCATTAAAGTCTTGTCAAGTTTGTTTGCATTTAAAAGACTAGAAGCAGCTAGGAAATAACTGTGATTCCAGAGCAATGGAACTGTTTTATCCAGGCAGGGCACTGCAGTAGAGGGAAATCTCTTGCGGGGCAAGGTTGAAACCCCACCCCGCCACTAAGGCTCTTGTTCCAAGGATCCCCAGGTGAACAATAAGCAGAATCTTCCATTTGGTGGCACAGACTTCAGCAGCATTCTTGGCACATTATGATGCTCAAGAACAAATCTGCTGGAAAGATGGATGATGTCACAGGAGCAGAGCTCCTGTGTGATCACACACACACATGTGTGATACCTGTGGGAGCGAGGCATGCAACGCTCAGGCTGGAACTCAAACTTAGCCCTAGCCTACCAAACACATGCAAACAGAGCCCACTCTTCTGGCATTCTTCAAAATTCTCCAGGTTGGAGATATAGCTCTGAAGGGGACTTTTCTAATATACACTGTGACAGCACCCACTATATAAGCTACCTGCATGGGAGATGAAATAAAGAAAATTTGCCTCAGTAGGAACGTAGAAGACTTGACTATAGTGAAACTTCCTTCCTACAAGCATCTAAAATGTTTGCTTTGCTTTATCTGTAATAGGTTAAGTACGGTATTGCCCAAAGCTTTCTAGCAAAATTGTTTATCAAAGAAATGTTAAATAGCCCCCTAAGGCCTTACAAAGATATTTTAGATTCTAGGGGATAATTGTAATCTTTTCTAAGATGGGTTGTGACTAGTAGCCTTCAAAAGCCTCCTGTGTTTTCTTCCAAGGTGAATTGGAAGACTAGTTGTATATCTGGTACAATGCTAAATTTGCATTTACCTATTTACCTAACATATTGAGCTAGATGATGGTTGTTAAACTTAACATCAGGGCAATATATTAATGGAAGCTAAATATAACTCTCCCAGTCAAAAGTTATGTGTACTAAAGTGGATGGTCTAAAACATTATGTTTAAGGGGCTCCTGGGTGGCTCAGGTGGTTAAGCATCTACCTTCCTTCTCAGGTCATGATCTCCAGGTCCTGGGATTGAGCCCCAGATCGGGCTTTCTGCTCAGCGGGGAGTCTGCTTCTCCCTCTCCCACTCCCCTATGCTCGCTCGCTTGCTCTCAAATGAATAAATAAAATCTTTTTTAAAAATTAAAAAAAAAAAAAAAACTCTGTTTAAGAATTTATTTGTTCAGGGGTGCCCGGGTAGCTCAGTTGGTTAAGCATCTGACTCTTGATTTCAGCTCAGATCCTGATCTCAGGGTCGAGAGACTGAGCCCCGAGTCAGGCTCCACACTGGGTGTGGATGCTGTTTAAGATTCTCTTTCCCCCTCTACCCCTCCCCCGCTTTCTTAAAAAAAAAAGTATTTGTTCAATTGCCAGCAGTTCTGTTTAATTTTTATTGTAACTCCTTCCTAGACATCCCTGGATTTTCCAGAAAGTTGGAACAACATTAAAGCATAGTTTTATTCATGAGGTGTAACTCGTTAATGTTCGTATTCACTTGAATTTTGTTTTGTTTTAGTTCTGAGCAAGACAAAGAAGAATGGATCAAGGTAAACCATATTTCTATTTTTTATTTTTGTTTTTTGGTAACCTTTGTATGTGTACACAAACATGCACATATAATAGTGTACACATATTGTCATCAGAACAAGGTCATTTAATTTTTAAGATCATTCTTACATCATAGATGTTTGTTTGATGAAGCATTTTCATTAATTTGCATGTGATATTTTAATGTATGCTTTGAATCTCATTTATATTTTAGGCTCTTCAAGAGACCATTGATGCTTTCCATCAGAGGCATGAAACCTTCAGAAATGCAATTGCAAAGGACAATGACATGCACTCAGAGGTTTCTGTAAGTTGAAATAAATTCTTTTCTCTTTGCAGTTGCAGATCTGTCTAATCATTTTCTTATCTTGCCTTTTCTCTTTGCAATGCTGGAACTGGCTATTTAGACAAAATCTCATTCTTACATGAATACAATAGTGAGTGCCTTTTTATCCTGCTTAAACTTCTTTAAACCTTTTATTTCTTTTTCTAGGTCATGAGTTTCAAAGCATGATATGAGCAGTGTTGTCAAAATGCTTTTTAATAAGTAAGTAAATAAACAGATGGAAATGACAGTTTTTTTCTATTAAAATTGAATCCTTTTTAGACTGCTGAGCTGGGGAAAAGAGCTCCAAGATGGATCCGAGATAATGAAGTAACGATGTGTATGAAATGCAAAGAATCTTTCAATGCACTGACAAGAAGAAGGCATCATTGTCGAGCATGTGGACATGTAAGTGAGATTTCTTAATGATCATGAAGGTTGCTAGTAACTAGATAAGTGTTGTATAATCATCAAGTTTGAAAAGGCAAAAAAAAAAAAATTCAATAAATAAACCACCTAATTAATAAACTTAATTTTGATGACAGCTATGTGCAAAGCACTGTGCTGCTGGGTCCTGGAGAAAAAATGGTAAGCAAAATGATACCCTTCTTCACATAGCTTACATTCTAATGGAGAAAATAACCAAAGTCAAATATACAGACAAATAAACATTTCAAATTACTATAAAAACAATAAGGAGGCAATGAAGAAGTTAGAATGGAGAATAATGTTAATGGAGGAGGACTTGAAACCAATTTTACTTAGAAAAATGAAGCCCTGGGGCGCCTGGGTGGCTCAGTCAGTTAAGCATCCAACTCTTGATTTTGGCTCAGGTCATAATCTCAGGGTTGCGGGATAGAGCCCCATGTCAGGCTCCATGCTGGGCGTGGAGCCTGCTTAAGATTCTCTCTTCCTCTCCCTCTGCCCCTCCCCCTCCCTCTCCCCCTAGTTAAAATAAAAGAAGAAAGAAAAGAAAAATGAAGACCTATCTGAAGGGTTGATATTTAAGCTGGTGCCTAAAGGGTGAGAAAGAGCTAACCATGCCAAGGGAGGTGAGAAAGGTGTTCAGTGGCTCTGTATGTCAGAAGCCCTGAGATAGGAGAAAGTTGGGTCTGCTCTTGAGATGCCAGAGGTCATGAGGCAGGAGCCCAATGAGTAAGTGGAACTGTGGCATAAGAAATAGAGGTAAATAATAACCAAAAGAGTTGATGTCCTTGAGAAGACAAGAGATGGAATGTATATAGCATAAGTGGAAGTTCAGGCTTCTGATGGGAGAGGGAAACTTCCCTCCATTATAACAAAAAGGAAAAAGGAAATGATGGGTGCAAATGTGGGTGTGTTTTTGATTTTGTGGTAGGAAATTTTCGGTATGATGATAACTATGTTGTCATTGAAGTATGAGGAAGAGTCATCAGCTGAAAGAAAAGGGGGAAGGGGTGGAGAGATGGGGAAAGTCAAGAAAGACGGCTCAGTATGAAATAGTTGTCTCTGGGCCAGGGGAGTGAGCCTCCCCAAGGAGCAGGTGTGGACTGCTCTGTGCCCATTAGAGGTTTATGGTTATGCATGTAAAGGGACCACAGTCCATTTACTGGCAAGGATTGTTCTCACAAAATTCAACACCTCTGGCCAGAGAAAGCAGGTGACAGGTTTTCAGCAATTTGAGTTGTTTCATATAGAAAGCGTGAGGAGGAACAAGGCATGAAATGAAGCAGGAGAGAGAGAATAGCAGATTTTGGATGGCCTTGTAAACCAAGTTGAAGATGATATACTTTCTTCTAAAAAGCAACGAGTAAACAGAGAAGGGTAGGCATTGTAGTGCTGTGATTTAATATATTATTAGTATGCTAAAGTGCAAAACAGTTCGTATTGAGAGTTCTTTTAGATTATTCTCTTACAGCAGATTTATTCTTCCATTTTTGTCCTGAGTTTTCTCTCAGTGAAACAGTTTTGTGATCAAATTCAAGTTGATAAAAAAAAAAACCAAATTCAAGTTGATAGGGGCACCTGGGTGGCTCAGTCGTTAAGTGTCTGCCTTCGGCTCAGATCATGATTCCAGTCCTGGGATCGAGCTCCACGTCGGGATCCCTGCTTGGCAGGAAGCCTGCTTCTCCCTCTCCCACTCCCCATGCTTGTGTTCCCTCTCTCGCTGTGTCTCTCTCTGTCAAATACATAAATAAAATCTTTAAAAAAAAAAAAAAAATTCAAGTTGATAGCAAATAACTTTCTTCCCCCCCAGGGTAAGACTTCTTGATCTGTCATTGAGTTTGCTTGAGATGATTTCAGGTATTGACTGATAGACTTACCTTCAGTAAACAAACAAAAATGTATTTGAATGTTGATTACCAAAATACAAGAATATGACTCGAAATAAATAAGATAGTAGCTGATATGAATGTGCAGATGCAGGCGTGTCTAGTTCCAAATCCTACAGTAATTTCACTGTAATTATGAGAAAACAATGAATAGTTCTATATCATGAATTTACATGCTGTGAACCTAAACTAAAAGTTTTGCTAATATTTTTATGTTCATAAACAGTTTACTACAAATTAGGAAAAATATGCTTCTAGAAGCAAGAAGATAATTATTTATTTATTATTATTTTTTTACAGATTTTATTTAAATTCCAGTTAATATACAGTATAGTATTAGTTTCAGGTGCATAATATAGTGATTCATCACTTACATATAACACCCAGTGTTCATTACAGAAAGTGCCCTCCTTAATCCCCAGCACCTATTTAGTACCCTCCCCACTCCCCCTCTGGTAATGATCAGTTTGTTCTCTATAGTTAAGAGTCCGTTTCTTGGTGTGACCCTCTCTCTTTTTTTCCCTATGTTCATTTGTTTTTTTTTTTCTTAAATTCCACATATGAGTGAAATCATATGGTATTTGTCTTTCTCTGACTTTTAGCCATCTTGACAGGTGTGAGGTGGTATCTCATTATGGTTTTGATTTGCATTTCCCTGATGATGAGTGATGTTGAGCATCTTTTCATGTGTCTGTTGGCCATCTGTATGTCTTCTTTGGAAAAATGTCTATTCATGTCTTCCCATTTTTTAACTGGATTATTCATTTTTTGGGTGTTGAGTTTTAGAAGTTTTATACATTTTGGATACGAATCCTTTAACAGATAAGTCATTTGCAAATATCTTCTCCCATTCGGTCGGTTGCCTTTAGTTTTTTTGATTGTTTCCTTCACTGTGCATAAGGTTTTTATTTTGATGAAGTCCCAAAGGTTTATTTTTGCCTTTGTTTCCTTTGCCTCAGGAGACATCTAGTAAGAAGTTGCTATGGCCAAGAAGATAATTTTTTTAAATTCGAAGGTTTTTTTCTAACAATTATCCTATAATAATCAGAAAAAAATACTATTCACTAAGAAGTAACATGCATTTGCATTGTACTCATTCATTTATTGGCATTCTGTAAATGTTCATTGGGTGCCTTATGAGCAAAATATACAAGGAGGTTTACAAACATAAACAGTGAATAATCACACAAATATATGATTAAAAACTAATCAGTGCATCAAGAAAAGTAAGGAAACTTCAGTAGCATGGTGACAAGAGACAGTGCTCTATTCTGGAAGTTGGAGAAATCTTCCTTGAAGTGAGATTTGAGTCAACATCTGAAGGATGAACAAGAGTTAATTCACTGAAGCAGAGATGAGAGACATTTCAGGGGCTCTAAGAAGCCAGTGTCACAGGGGTTACAGAGAGCAAGAGGGGCAGATCATAAAGCACGTTGTAGGCCATGGGGAAGAATCTGCTCTTTATCCAAGAGCAAAGGGAAAACTGTAAGGATTTTAAGTAGAGGAAACCTATCAGATTAGCATGTTTAAGACAGCATCTGGTGCTGTTTGGAAAATAGCTTGGAGGGGTGTAAAAATAGAGGCTAGAGAATGCTCCAGTAAGAATTCCAGTAAGCATGCTACAAGGACCAGTCATGAGACTGTAATACTCCAAATTATGACATTGGTAGCTTGGACTTGGAAGGAAGATGTAGAAAAATAGATTGAAAAAATATCTAGGAAATAAAATCAGCAGGACTTTGTAATATGGTGACTCTATGGGGCGAAGTAGAGGGAGGTGTTGATGACTCCTAGGTTTCTGACTTGCCTTGACTGGTTAGATGGCTGTGCTATTTTCTGCAATAGGGAGCACAGAAGGGAATGGGTTGGGAGGGGTGGGGTGAGTCAGGAGAGATCTGAGGCAGGGAAGATCAAGATCATTAGTTCATTTGGGGAGTATATTGACGAAACATCCAGAAGTATGAAGGGTAAAAGTCCTTCAAAGGACCAAGCAAGCCTTTGAAGATCTCCTGCCGTTAGAGTGAGGAAGACAAAGGGTGAACAAGGACAGCCCATCACCAACAGCACTATAATACCATGATATATACTCCTAACGTTCATAGGGTATTCTTAGTCTAGTATATACTTGTGTTAAATATTTAACTCTTTCTTATTTATTATTACTATAAGTGATTATTGCTCAAATCTTTATGATTATTCACTCTTCTTTTTTTTTTTAATTTAAGGTGGTTTGTTGGAAGTGTTCTGATTACAAAGCTCAACTTGAGTACGATGGTGGAAAATTAAACAAAGTTTGTAAAGACTGTTATCAAATAATAAGCGGATTCACAGACAGTGAAGAAAAAAAAAGAAAAGGAATTTTAGAGGTATGGAATACTAAATGTTTGATAACTTTTCAATTTTTATGCAAGGAATGTAGAATTGTCTTTTAACCCTGAAGAATACAAATAGCATATTTTGTTATTTCTCTTAATATTTAACAATTTGAAGAATAAGTAAGATTCATACTTTTGTCCTATCCTGCTGAATTTGGGGATCATATTCAGTTGTATAGAAAGAAGAGGGACAAGTGCTGTATTTTAATCACATGCATTTGAGAGTGAAATGTTGGTTTTGTGAAGGTGGCTATCGTCAAATATTAGAGTATTAATTGTCTCTTCTAGTGCCCGACTTATAGTATATATTTTAATAGGAAAGCTTTTCTGTCAATTTTATCATATTGGCTTCAAAAACCACTGTTTGAAATTATTAAAATTCGTATTAAAGTATTTATTACCTGAGAATGTCTACCAACTTATTGCATTAAAAGCATCATTTAATAGCCAGTGACAGTAAGCTGGTAACTGCATTGAAATATTATTGAAATGTCTTGCAAGTGAATTCGACTCATGTTTTTATACTAAAGTCAGAACCTCCCAATCAATCCTGGGAACTATAATGCAGCATGTATCTGAAATGAGTTTTACACTCAAAAGACATTAACATAAGGAATAAATTATGTAATAAGGCCTTTGTGGCAGAAAGTTCAACATAGCCTGGAAAGTCTGTGAAAAATAGGCTCATGATCAGAATTCTATGTATCTAAAGTCAGAGACGTACTTGGTTTATTAAGAATTTCCATGGTTTATTAAGAATCAATAAGCATTCATTTTGCATCTATACAGTGTAAGCATACAAAGGTCATTTCAGCTAACTGAAAAAGAATCCTAAACTTGAGTGTCCATTGAAAGTTAAAGTATAGGCTGACAAGCTAAAAGTATAACTCTGAATTCTTCTAGGGTACAGATGTTGCTTGTAGGCAGACCAGAATGGGGCTTTCTCTGGCAGGCAAGGTGGAGGCACATTTCATTGGCCTCAAGACTTAAACACAATAACTGACAAAACTGGCATAATACAATGAGTCAGATAACTTGTGTTAAGGGATGAATTTCAGGCTGTATCTATGAAATAAAAAAAAAAACTCTAGGGCGCCTGGGTGGCTCAGATGGTTAAGCGTCTGCCTTCGGCTCAGGTCATGATCCCAGGGTCCTGGGATCGAGTCCCACATCGGGCTCCCTGCTGCTT